CATCTCCCCTTCCGCTGCGTGTACATCTAATTTTCGCACAGTTTATGAAATTTTACCAATTAAAACTAGTCTTCTGGACTGAAGCACACGGAGCGGAAATCGGATGCAGTAGGTACATTTAATTTCATTGAAACGTGAGATTAGTTGGAGGGCTTGATTTCTGGCTCGAGCTCATGGGGGGGGGGGTGCGGTTATGTTTTCAGTCAGTCAGCCAGTCGGTCAGTGTATTTGAGGGAACTAGGCTTACGCCTTTGAACTCCCTATTTGTACATAAAAAATCGATAAGCAAGCAAAAATGTGAAGAAATTACAGCATTAAGTGAATGCATACATTGATTCACATATGTCACTAGTCACATGATTAAAAAGTCACATAGTCTGCTTGTTGCTGCAGCATATATCTTTTCCACCAATCAAGAAAGTTGTGTTTATCCTGACGACAGTTTCCGATATCACTGACTAACTGGGCTTAGTGAACAGTCGGCGACAGACTCTGATACGAAGTTAAGCCATCGGGTCTGCCATTCAAGCAAACCGCAGGTCACGCAGCTAGAAATGCCTTAGAGGTCGCTTTCGATAAGTCCGCGCATGTCTTCAGTTGATCATATCTTCATCGGCCCGACTGAGAAGACGTTCAAATTGTAAAATTTATATTCGACGAATATGATTACTATCCACAGATTATTTACGCCAGTCAAATCAGAAAAAAATAGCCACGAGGCGGCGGCGTGCGTAGAAAGATTAATTGAAGTCGTTCAAAAGTTTGCCGGCGTTTTTGGCACATTAGAACAAGAACTTCGCTTCCAGACTGACAAGTAAAGAGGGGACGGCTTGCCGGTCGATTCCACAACCGGCGATAGGATGCTAGGGATGAATTTGCAATACTACAAGCTGAATTTTTTTCACGTGACGATTAACTTATCTGCTAGAAAGATTGTCTCGACAGCGGCCCCCTATGCTGGCTGATATCAATCCGACTGAGATGAATTATGGGATTGAAAACAAGTGACATGCATACTTGCTTGGCCAGTCCTTGACTTCACCTGTGCCTTATCCGTTTATCAGAATGTTCGACCCAGGGCGACAAAAGCTCCTTGCTAGGCCTAGAGTACCACTGAATTTGGATCACAGGGCAGCTGTGTCAGGTCGCCGACGCATATGCTGTTATCTCTATTTTAAGCAAATGATATGGAGTCAGTATGAGCTTCGGAGCATTTGAAAAAATCACTGAAACAGCTGTTTTGGCTGTCTGGCGTTTTTGAGGGTCGGATAGATAGCACATTAATCGAAAAACTTTAAACTCAAATGCAAAGGAGACTAGAGTGCCTATTTCTGGCTTGTCTTCTGTCGCCAGTCAATCTGGACCCCAGTCAGAAGGGTCCCAAACTTGGATCCGAGCCCGCTTTTCCGCTGAGTCACACATTCTACCAGTCAGACCCACTTTGTCAGTTGCCGTCGCGAATAATAAGTCCCGTGAAAGCAATGTTAACCGGTCTAGCTTATACGGTGGGGTATAGACTGAATATCCAAAGCGCAAAGGAACGCTCGTTTTCCCTATTCCAGTCAGGATCGATTGGACAGCGCCACTTTCGTGAGGTAGTCCATTTCAAAAACCAAGACGCATAATAATTTTTTGCGTCGGATCCGTCGTTCATATATCTGTGCAGTTTCCTTTCCACCTATCAAAAGTACCGGTTATCAGACCTTTTTAAGTCGCCCTCTCGTTGAAGTGTGCGAATTGGTACTCGCGTCGGCATATGGTGATTGCACAGACATTAACCGGTTCCAATCCCATTTACACAGTATTCTTGCTGTCATGAAACCTGGAGGTCTGGGTTTAAGCATTGTTCTGTAGCAGAGTCTGCAGCTTATATGCCTCGGCAACTTCCCTGTATTATCGCCAACAGGTTGGAAGACGGTAAATACAATTACACGACGTGGACAATTACCAGACTCGATCGCCCTGCAAGTAGTAAGTCCCTTTTCTTAAGCATTCTAGTCATTGAAAGTCGGGTCAAACCTGATTCAGTTGACATCGCGTGAGCTGCATGACGCCTTGTGAAATGCCGCAGTCGCTGACCAAAATGAAGCCGCGCATTTTTATCTGCAAACGCACTATTGGCTTTTATTTAATGTAAATTAAGAGACAGCTCGAAGTTAGCTATGACAGCTGTCTAAGGCATGGAGATACACACTGCACTTTCTTAGGAGTCCGACATGCGAATTTATGACTCAGTCGTCCGAGAACCAGATCACCACGGTGAGCCGCTTGGTTCGCATGACGCCCTGGGAGATAATCTATGCGCCGTCGGGATCTGAATCGTGTCCTTTATTTTCAGCATTCACAGCAACCGATGAGTTTGAATTCCCCTACTCGGCCGCCAGTTGATCTATGCTTCTGCTTAGTTACCTTGGTATTGTTCCAGCTACCGTAGTTGCAGTCCATTCTGAACCAGTGCTTCGTTCAGTCAGCTCATTACCGTCTGTACAGATCTCACTACGACACGCCAGAGCAGGTATCGATCTGCGCAACCATTGGAGAAGCAATAACGAGAGTCGCACGCCAAAGTAGATGGCCAATCTCGGCCGCCACATAAATAATATAAGGAAGATGGACAGCTGGCCAAACCACCACGAAATATCGGACGACAAATAAATTCCTCTCAGGGATCGTTTACAACATCCAAAAGTTAACTACCTTTTATTGCTCGGCATTACCTGTGTCTTGTCTAAAGCCTGTGAGATATCCATCTCTGTTCTACATTCCCCCACCATTACTTGACGCTCCGCAGATCCCTGAGACTGGAGGCATTCTTGTTGGCTTGTTCAATGTTGCCAAACAACTCAGCCTAGGAAATTCGGTGATTAAAAAAGAATTTAAATATTCGACAGCTTCGACCTTAGGTCCATCTTTCACCAGCCAACATAAATAGCACGTACACGCCTCCGGTCAACTTTGTAGACGAAACGCACTCGGCCTGGTAGTTCCATATGAATCAGAGAAGGATCTTTGAGTGAAAGTGAATGCAATCGAGTCAAAAATGGTTGCAGAAATGTAGAAATTCAAATTTTGCATTTACAAAACTCCAGAATTGGGGGAGATAAATTGACAAACAGTACATCGGCACTCTAGCCCTCCATTTCTTTCAAAACTACCGCTTTCCCCCTCCTCCTCCTCCTCCTCCTCCTCCTCCTCCTCAGACTACTATCACCTCAATCGACAAATAGTGATGGCCCCGAGGAATGAGCAAATCTTTCCGCGTAGCTCATATTGGGCAGCAGTGGCCTGTCAACAGCGTGGGACGGTCTCAGGCGAAGACTACCATTCCGTTGGAGGTACCTGCGCAACGGCGGGCTATCGCTCTCGTCAAAGGAAGCGCCAAACGGCCGTGACTCCATACCACTGCCGCCGAGGGGTTCTGGGCGCAGCCAGGTGGGATGTGAATTCTGAGTATGATGCTGTTCCTGGGTCAGTCCGCAGGTCTGAGTGATCACCGAGCGCTGGGTTTCCTGCACCTCGTTGTCAGAGGCCTTCTGATGCTCGCGTCTAGTTGGCGCTGTAGCCTGGTGAGGGCGAGTCTTACCAACCCAGAAGTCTTTGTACTGGCCGGGGAGAGAGGGGACCTCCAGGCGATGTGACCCGAGGGCTGGGGAAGAGCGCAGGGGCCTATGACATTCACTCCTGTTACGGGAGCGGGTGATTATGGCGCCGAGAGAGACAGGGGAGGGCGTGGCGTATCCAGGCGTGGACTCGAGGGAACAAGAGTAGTTCGGGCTGTAGGGGCAGACTTTGCCTGTGTGGGTATCGCCTAGCAGCCTTTCGTCGACGCGATTCTGCCAGCTTGAAGGCCTTCGACCACCTTCAGGTTGGATAACAAACCACCAGTTAATCTTTTCTACATATTCAGTATGGTTTAATGATACTATTTATTGCATTTTATAACCCTATTTTGAGCATACTATTTAACGATGCGTGTGGCTATTCAAATAATCTTGTTACAGACATATTATTGATATAATTTTAGTAGAACAAGCATATTAATAATGCGAATGACACGCATTCCACTGGTAGGAGGGCGTTCACCGATCGTCTTACGGAACTTACTGGTCCCGTTGTGCCTTGGAGCTCTCTCGCGAGCCCAACTAGCAGCCTCAGAGCGGCGCGTACTATAGGCAGAATAACATCGCCGACAAAGACTAGGAAGACTGGAATGGTCATTTCTGGCTTATTAGCTGTTGTCAGCCAGTCATACCCAGGACAACGAGCATGTGGCTCATTGGTTTAGGGTGTGGCACCTCTAACCAACGGGTCGTGGGATCGGGCCCCCAGGTGTTCCACACTTCAGGGTTGGACATGACTGGCTAACGACGGCTAATAAGCCTGAAATGACCATTTCAGTCTCCCTTGTCTTTCCCGGTAATGTTATTGTGCTTGTCACTAACCATCAGTCTGTCTACGGATTAAACTTTAAAAGATCTCGCAAGGAGAGAATTCAAAATGCGGGCCGCATTAAGCTACAGATCATACCATATCTAAAAATCGCTATATAAAAGGCGCAGTGGAATGCTCCCATTCATATGCGCTGCCGTAGCACACCTGTCGTCAAACGTTGTTTTC